ATTGTTTTTCTTTTTGAAAATGCTGGAGCGTTTCAAACTGTGATCTGTAGTTAACGTCAGCTGTTTTAAATGTATTTTTTGCCTGGTGTTAAAAATGGGAGCAGCAGAATGAGGCAGAGAAGCTGTGAGTGCTGTGTGTGTGAAGTCCTCATAAGGATAGCAAGATGGATGTTTCTCTCCTTTTTTTCTCTGTGTTGCTGTTTTTGCATCAAAAAAGCTGGGAACATAGTCATTTTATGTAACAAAATATATTAATCTTATTAACATACAAATAAAAACTGAATATTTAGCACTAGATAAAATAAAACATAATTTTTAAATATGTTTTCTAGTTTTAAGTTATGTAGAAGAGTTACTCTGACAGTTTTATTTAGGCCTGTTGCTGTTTTTGCAACAAAAATGCTGGAATATTAAAACAGTCATTTTATTTTATGTAAAAATACAGTAATCTTATTAACATACAAATAAAAACTGAATATTTAGCACTAGATAAAATAAAACATAATTTTTAAATATGTTTTCTAGTTTTAAGTTATGTTGCTCAATTTCATGTTTGACTTTGCCTCAGAAATAATCATTGCTTCATAAACCTCTGTGTGAGTGTTTGTGTGTTTTATTTATTTATTTTTAAAGTACCAATTTAAACACCGTTTAGGAACCGGTACCGTTTTGAAAGTATCGATTTAGCACCAGTATCGAAATAAACCTGTTCAATACCCAACCCTACATGTGACGCAGGCCTAAGCAGAATTGTTATCTGCTACATACAATTGGCAGTTTCTCAAATCTCATTTGTCTAAAGCTCTTGAACTCATCGTGTATAGTTTTTATTTCTGAATTCCTAAAATTTAACTTTGTACCTTTCTGTAGTTTCCATTCCTTCTATGTCAACCTTTATCCATCCTTCCATTGATCAGGAAGCCCCTTGAGGGATTCTTTGACACTGTTCGTACTTCTTCTGAGAAAAGCCACCTCCTTCCCTAACTCTGTCTCCAGTGTCTTTTCCTCTTTCCTCCTTCTTTTTCTTCTTTTTTCTTTTCCCCATGTCTCCTCATTTTCTACTTTTCTCTCCACCAACTCCTTTCATTCCGTTTTTCAATCTGCTCGTCTGCCCCTGCAGGGCAGACAGCCTTTGTGTGTCACTTGGGCCTGTGTGTGTTTGTGTGCGTGTGTTGCTTCATCACCTCCCAAACACACACCGTCTGACTTCACACTCACCACACTCCTTAAAATGCTCACTTGGAGTTCAAATCTCAATCCATCACACCTGCTTCTATCTGAAATGCATGAGCGCACACACATTCTTGTGAACGATGTACGATGCACGTGTGTGTGTGTGTGTGTGTGTGTGTGTGTGTGTGTGTGTGTGTGTGTGCTGCACTAACACTAGGAGCAATGCGCTGCAGCTGCTTGAGGGCGATGCGGTTATACATGGTGCTGATGTCTTTTCTTTGGTCATCATATTCTGACATAGTGATCTGCAGAGAGAGATGAGGCTTTATTAAACATCATGGTCACACAGGTCTAAGTGAAAGTACACATACTGTATGTCATCAGCTTACATTGGCCAGCCGCGTCTCTAGCTGTATAATCTCTTTGGACTTCTGTGTGGCGTTGTGAGCTCCCAGCATGCTCAGCAAGCGCTCCATCAGGGCCTTATACGCCGCCAGGATCTGGGAAACATAACGACAAAGTGACAGCGGCAAAATCATTGGTAATGACTGGTGACGGGGCTGACATGTGGCAAAGTGGACGAGTAACAAAAGCACAGCAGGTGACAGAGGAAAACAGGTGGATTAATATAGAAGAGCAATGAGCCAGATGGATGAAGGAGACGAGTACAAGGGGGTTGAGGGGAAATGATGGGAGAAGCAGGGGTAGAAATTAAGCTTAAAGTCAGTCATCCTTGTAAAGCTGACAACAATTTTACCATCCCTCCACCAGACCATGTTTCCTGATCAAGGAAGCAAAACAAAATATAACTGTTTTAAGTAATGTCTGTATTGCATACAAAATTTGCCCTCTATCTATATCTATA